GTCAACAAATATACCCTGGTTCCCTTTCTAGCAAGGTGGAAACTAAGTAACAAAAAATGTCCTTCTAAATTCTAAGTACTGAACAAAACAATGAGTTCTTTGTATTTGAGTCTAAGGTCTGGCACAGGACGTGTGGGGTTAGTGTCTGGTACCATTGTATGTTATCTCTGAGGTTGCACCTATCCTGACCAATCCTGAGATGGTATGTAACCCAGAGGCTCACGCCACTCAGTGGGCTCTCACTCTAATCATTTCTGTGTGGGTATTGTGACCAGCTCCCTTATCGATGAGTTTTTAATCAAGTGAATATTCTGATTGGTGATTGACCTTGTCTCTCCTCATTATTGATAAAAATATCCACCACATTTGGCGACGAGGATGGGATATGTAACTTCAACTGTTGACCGCTCCTGAGGATCTGGGTAAAACTGTGCACAGGGGATCCAAATTGGATCTCAGGGGAACGTGCTCCTAAATGAGCAGCTGGACCCGCCTAAGATCTGAGAGGAAGCGGGCATGGGTGGATACCATATTCCCGAACATAGTATTAAAATATCCACCACAATTCTTAGCTTGAGTTACCTGGGGTGTCAGAGAGTTCCATGTAGTCATGGCTCTATTTAATACTGTGTTTCCCAGCCTCTGTTCTGGACCTGGGGACTGTGAAGAGACCTCTGGTTGCATGTCTTGTGTGGTACTGATGACTGACCAAACTGTGTGCCAAATGCTTGAACAGACAGTTTGGTACCTTCAACACATCAATACCTTGCACAAAGACTAATAGGGATGCAGTCAATCTATCCTCAACTTTGAGCCAGGAGAGACTGACTTGCATGTTACTGACACTTTACCTACAGTGCATTCGGAAAGTACTCAGACCCCTTGACTGTCACAGCATTATTCTAAAATTGATTAAATTGTTTTTTTCCCCTCATCAATCTACACACAGTACCCCATAATGACAAAGCAAATATTGATTTTCAGAAATTTTTGCACATTTATATAAAAAAAAACCCGGAAACATCAAATTTACATAAGTATTCAGACCCTTTACTCAATACTTTGTTGAAGCACCTTTGGCAGCGATTACAGCCTCAAGTCATCTTGGGTATGATGCTACAAGCTTGGCACACCTGTATTTGAGGAGTTTCTCCCATTATTCTCTGCAGATTCTGTCAAGCTCTGTCAGGTAGGACGGGGAGTGTCGCTGCACAGCTATTTTCAGGTCTTTCAAGAGATGTTCGATCCGGTTCAAGTCCGGGCTCTGGCTGGGCCACTCAAGGACATTCAGAGACTTGTCCCGAAGCCACTCTGGCATTGTCTTGGCTGTGTACTTAGGGTCGTTGTCCTGTTGGAAGGTGAACCTTCGTCCCAGTCTGAGGTCCTGAGCACTCTGGAGCAGATTTATATCAATGATCTCTCTGTTCTTTGCTTCGTTCATCAGTCCCTCGATTCTGACTTGTCTCCCAGTCCCTGCCGCTGAAAGACATCCACACAGCATGATGCTGCCACCATCATGCTTCACCGTAGGGATGGTGCCAGGTTTCCTCCAGACGTGACGCTTGGCATTCAGGCCAAGGAGTTCAATCTTGGTTTCATCATACCAAAGAATCTTGTTTCTCATGGTCTGAATCCTTTAGGTTCCTTTTGGCAAACTCCAAGTGGGCTGTCATGTGCCTTTTACTGAGGAGTGGCTTCCGTCTGGCCACTCTACCATAAAGGCCTGATTGGCGGAGTGCTGCAGCAATGGTTGTCCTTCTGGAAGGTTCTCCCATCTCCACAGAGGTACTCTGGAGCTCTATCAGAGTGACCATCGTGTTCTTGGTCATCTCCCTGACGAAGGCCATTCTTCCCCGATTGCTCAGTTTGGCCGGGCGGCCAGCTCTAGTAAGATTCTTGGTGATTCTAAACTTCTTCCATTTAAAAATGATGGAGGCCACTGTGTTCTTGGGACCTTCAGTGCTGCAGAAATTTTTTGGTACCCTTCCCCATATCTGTGCCTCGACACAATCCTGTCTCGGAGCTCTATGGACAATTCCTTTGACCTCATGGCTTGGTTTTTGCTCTGACATGCACTGTTAATTGTGGGACCTAATATAAACAGGTGTGTGCCTTTCCAAATCATGTCCAATCAATTGAATTTACCACAGGTGGACTCCAATCAAGTTGTAGAAACATTTCAAGATGGTCAATGGAAACAGGATGCACCTGAGATTAATTCTGAGTCTCATAGCAAAGGGTCTGAATAATTATGTAAATAAGGTATTTCTGTTTTTAGTTTTTTTATACATTTGCAAAAATGTTTAAAAACTGGTTTTCGCGTTGTCATTATGGCGTATTGTGTGTAGATAGATGAGGATTAAAAAAAAATCAATTTTAAAATAAGGCTGTAACGTAGCAAAATGTGGAACAAGTCAAGGGGTCTGAGTACTTTCCGAATGCACTGTATGTCCTTCTTTGCCGAATATGATCACACAGCTGCAACAAAACTAGGGCATGTAGGACCTCCTGTCTAGTTGACTGAGATGTCAAGGCAGAGCAACGCCCTATCATGGACAGACCTCTTCCCATTTTAGCAACCATTGAGTATATATGGTTGCTAATAGGGTTACACCCAGCAGTTTAGTCTTCTCAACTTGCTCAATAGCCACATTATTCAATAATAGATCTAAACAAGGTTTAGGGTTGAGCGAGTGATTTGTCCCAAAAGTTATGCTTTTAGTTTTTGAGATATTTAGCACCAGCCTATTGCTTGGTACCCATTCTAAAACTGACTGGAGCTCTATGTTAAGTGTGTCAGTTATTTATTTTACTGTTGCAGTCGACGTGTATACTGTTAAGTCGTCAGTGTACATAGACACAAAGGCTTTATTCAAGGTCAGTGGAAGGTCATTTGTAAAAACAGAAAACAATAATGGCCCTAGCCGGCTACCCTGGGGTACACCACACTCAACTGAATTTGCATGAGAAAGGTTTCCATTAACGAAAACCCTCAGTGTTCTATTAGATAGGTAACTCTCAATCCATAATAAGGCAGAGGATGCAAATCCATAACACCTATGTTTTTTCAGCAATAGGTTATGATCAATGACATCAAAAGCTGCACTGAAGTCTAACAAAAAAAAGCTTTTCTTTCAGCCAATCATCAATCATTTGTGTCAGTGCCGAGCATGTTGAGTGCCCTTCCCTATAAGCATGCTGAAAGTCAGTTGTTTATTTGTTTTCTGTAAAATAACTTTGTATTTGATCAAACACTATTTTCTCCAAAAGTTTGCTAAGCACTTGTAACAGACTGATTGGTCGGCTGTTTGAACCATTAAAGAGTGTTCTGCTATTCTTGGGTAGCGGAATGACCTTTGCCTCCCTCTATGAGGGCACACACCGTTTTCTAGGCTTAAATTGAAGATGTGGCAAACAGGAGTCACAATGTATTCTGCAACCAACCTCAGCAATTTACCATCCAGGTTGTCGGTACCAGGTGGTTTTGTCCTTATTTATAAATAGCTAAACATTTTCACCTCTTCCACACCCACTTTGGAACTCAAAACTACAGTGCATTTTTCATTATTTGGTCCGTTATGCATGAATATGAAAGCTCAGCATTTGTTGTTTGCATGTCATGCCTAAGTTTGCTAATCTTGTCAACAAAAAAGTTATTGAAGTGGTTTTGTTATGAACAAGCCATCTGCCTCAATGAAGGATGGAGCCGAGTTTTCTTTTTACTATCATTCTTTATATCATTTATCTTTCTTCCATAGTGTAGTTTCTTCTTCTTTTTGTTTAGTTTAGTTACGTGATTTCTCAATTTACTGTATGTTTGCCAGTCTGCTGCCTTGTCAGACTTATTTGCTATTCCCTTTGCCTCATCCATCTCAGCCATACCGTTTTTCAATTCATCATCTATTCATGGGGATTTGGCAGTTCTAACAGTCAGTTTCTTGATGGGTGCATGCCTATCAGTAACTGGAAGAAACAGTTTCATAAATGCTTCCAGTGCACCGTCCGGATGTTCCTCATTACACACATCAGACCAACCAATATTTTTCACATCTTCAACATAGGAATCATTGCAAAACCTCTTGTATGAACGTTTATACACAATTTTAGGTCCAGTCTTTGGTCATGGAAGTAGTGTAGATCGATCAGTGGGGAGTACAGTAACAACAAAATCAAACTCCAAAAGGGTGTTTGTAAAAATCTGTTTGTTCTTATTGATACCCTATTACAACTCTGGTTCAACTGTACAGTATGTAGTTAGACCTGGAATGTGTTGAGCAATGGATATGTGCAATGGAGAATGATCATGCCATCATCCGATATACCCATGTGAGAGATGGATAACACTGTGCCCTGTTCTCTCTGTGTGTTTCCTTGTGCCCATCTGAATCCTGCCTGGGTCAAACTCTGCATAGAGGCAATGTTGTGGTGCCTTCCCTGTGGGAGATGGCCTCAGCTGTGGGAACATGTGCTTTGTCATGGGGCTCTGATTACATGCTCAATGCCTGGCTTGTGCGTAGCTCATCGTCTGGGCAATTGAAATAAATGACTAACCTGATCCCTGGCCTGCCTCTATTTGTTCAATTCTAGGCTATTTGATCAACTTCTGCCTTTTTGACAACTTGAGGAATTTAGTGATTTGCTGATTTCCGAGGCCTTTACCTCAACTGACCCTTTGATAATCAATTAACTTAAATGTTATCTCAGTGTTTAAGTTCATAAAGTCTACAAACCTGCACACAGTCTGTCAAAAGTGCAAGACTACTCTCTCTGTCACAAAGTGTTATGTGTTGTTGTGAAGTTGTTGCTTCGCTTGTGATCTTGTGTATTTTCAGGCAAAGGACAAATACCCCTCAGAGAGACTCTTGGTGATGGAAGAGATTTAGGAGATTGTTGTTTTGGGAGTTCCGCTTGTTACAAAACATTTCTACTGCTATTTTTCTATTTAGGCCCTACTCAAAGCATTCTAGAAGTAAGAATAAGGCAAGGAATATGGAATATGACACAGCAACAATTGAATTTGAATGGTAATAAGAGATTTACATTGTTTGATGGCTGACGAAGACAGCGTTTATTAATGCCTTGTTAATATAGGAAACAATTAAAAGGATCATACATGTAAAACAAACACAATAATTCACCTTCTTAATAATAATCAATATTTGAAAATTCACACAGAAGTATAGTATTTTCAAGTGTTTTTATAATCATACTCAAAACATCAATTTTCTTAAATAGGGCAGAGAAGTGTCTACCTTGACCAATGTGTTATGTTAGCAAATATCTTCTCTCACTTGATTAGACAGTTGAGATGCCTGTGAAGAGTAATTCTTTTGTGTGAAATGTTAAAAACTATTGTGTGAGTTGTACCATGTTATTCCTCATTTAACCAAATATTTTGTATCAAGGATAGAGAATGATTAAGAGTTTTACATAGAAGGATTTACAGACAGATACTTTCAAGAATTACAGACAGACCGATGTTTCTACATGTAACAAAATCCTGCTTTGGAAAGAAAATATGATTAGGTTCAATTGGCTGGTCTATATATGAAAATATACAAAAGGTATAATTTATAGGAAATACCTCCTCTATTTGTTGCCCCTCATCTACTCAATCAGCACCTTTTCAACACACAGTCACTGCTCTCTCATAACTGCAACTGATCTCTTGTTCCTAATGTTAGGCTTATAGTATACTTTCAGAGGTTTAAAGATAGGCTGTCTCACTTTATGTGCATCCCTTAGGATGTTCAATGAAAGAGCTGACAGTTAGGGGAACTTTTTTATCAGTCTTTGGGTAACTAATGGGTTAGGGATATTTCAAGGCATGTATTTCCTGGCCTTCATACGGGGTATAATATGTATGTCTCTGACGTCATTATGCTGAAGCAGCCAACACAAGTAGCGTTCTGTGCCCATGCCCCACCCACTGGTGAGTAGAGGAATGACCTGCCGCATGTTGATGTACCACTTGTAGGATTCCTCTGGCACAGCGTGATGTCTGAGGGCTTCTTGCACCATCTCAGGGTTGGAGTGACGCTCCCCAAGACCCAGAGTCTCCCCCAATCCCAAGAGGAGGTCTGATGCTTTTGCCTTGCGTCTGCCCGAGCCCTCCACATATGCTTGGTAGAAAGGCACTCCCAGGTGGTCCATCTCTGTCAGCCAAACAGCGCCTCCGTACTTCTCAATCAAGACCCGTTCTCCTTTGCGGGTTAACTTCCTGCCAAACTGGGGCTGGTCATCCTGTACCCACTCCAAGCAGTCTGGCGAGGGCATCATAGGGATGGCCTTATCCAGAGTGACTCTTGGGAGAGGGGTTCCTCCCTCCAACTTCTTCAGTAAGTCCTGGACGTGTGAAAGGGTCCCAGCGGAGTTCAGGATGATGTTGGAGTGTTTCTTCAGCATTGCATTGGTGAGATGAGCCACGTACTCCTCAGCTATGTGCATGGCAGTATCCATGTCGCCCAGGAGCTCACACTCAACATGGTAGAACTGGTTAAGATGCGTGGCATCTGGATCTTCTCCCCGAAAACTTGGCGATACATAGTATGTCCCCGGCAAGTTCTCTTGGAATCGCAAGAAATACTCCAGCACAAATTGCATGGAGTCGGCCAAGTACACATCCTGCCCCAGCATGTTGACGTAAACAGGCTCTGAGTCTGATCCCAAGCCCATCGGAGAGGAGATTGTGTCAGTGGTGAGAGGAGTCAGGGCGTACGCGTACTGACAGGTGTTGTTGAAGTACTCCACTGTGCTGTGGAAGAGGGTATTTTGAATTTGAAAGAGATTGCGGTACCACTGGCTCTTGATGGTTAACATGGAGTGGCTCTGTGGGTCCTCCCAGGAACGAGGAGGCCTGCAAAGTGTGATTTTGGTGTGGATCTCCTTTAGAGATTCAGGGCTGGCGGGAGGGCCATCGGCAGATGAGACGTAGCTGGGGTAGCTTTGGAAGTACTCTGGGAACACCTCAGCAGGCTTGTCACCACGTGGAGGAACCAGAGGGATCAGCTTGACATGGGCATTATCAATCTCAAAGCCCTCAAAGATGAGTGCAACACCTCGAGCATGCATTCCTTCCTCCAGCAGTCCAGCTACCTTACGAGTGGCCAGGATCAGTGATGTGTAATCAGTCTCTTCCAGACGGAAAATGTTGCTGGACAGTGGTTTACGTGGCACTAGAACTGTGAGTCCAGGTGTGTTAGGGTAGGGAGTGAGGAAAGCCACATAATCACTGTCCTCCCACACCCGCCACTGTTGCTCCTCCCCACGTACGATACGGCAGAACAGTCCATTGTGGGAGGGATCTCCTAAGAAGTCATAGCACGATGGTGCGTTAGGTGTTGGCAGCCTGTCCCGAATCTTGGCCTGAACCTGGTCCAGATCTGCATCTTCCCAGCGTGGGCCACTCTTTGAGCTGCAGTAACCTGGGTCATAGGGCTGAAAGTCCTCCTCCCCGGCCAGATGGGGGCGCCAGTTGGGTTCCAGGCCATGAAGTGGTAGCACTCGAATTTGGGCCGGCTGCTCGGGATGTGGGTTAAATACTAGGGCACAATGCTGTACCCCCAGTCGTTCGCATAGCAGGTTTGCAACAGCCCGTGCTCCTTGCAACAGTGCTAAGAAATCTGGCACAGCCAGCTGAAAGATGCTGCTTGGCCCACTCAGAGTCTTTCGGGTAAGGATGGTTGCACCTGGTGTCCAAGGGTTGGAGTGTAGGTGAGCAACCAGTTCGTCAGTCTCCCAGATCACATTGGAATAACTCTTCATGGGTCTCAGGACTTCGACACGTGCAATGCCACCAACCATGGATGCTACAAACAACACCCCAGCATTGGTTTCAACAACAGCATTGCCTTTGACATCTACAGCAATGATTCCAGCACAGCTGCCCTTCAAATTCTCAGACATGACTTCTCGACACGCCGCCCTAAGGCTGTAGCCTTTATGATGGTAGAGACTGGCCACTTTTTGTGCAACTGTGTGCCTTAGAAACAGATCTCCATCGCCAGAGCAGGTTACTGCAAGCTTGTCATCAGCAAATATACCTGCTCCCACTACTGCTGTGTCCCCAACTCGACCCTTCCATTTTCCCACCAACCCACCTGTGGACGTGGCAGCAGCTAACCTACACCATCGATCCAAAGCAACAGCTCCCACTGTCTGTGGATGGTTGTTTTTGGAGGCGTTGCCAGCACTGAGTTTTGCTATCAGCTCTCTGCGACGGGCATCAGTTTGGAAGTACTCTGCCCTCATAGGCTTCTCACTCTCTTCTAAGCCTTGCAAAAACTCTTCTGCACCTTCCCCTACTAAGAGTGAGTGCGCACTCTTCTCCATTACCTGTCTTGCTGCTTTCACTGGGTTCTTCACACTCTGCACACAAGCCACCGATCCAGAGTTCATCCCGTTTCCATCTACTATGGTCGCCTCCATCTCATTTTTCCCATCTTTGTTGAAAACAGATCCCTTCCCGGCGTTAAACAGAAAGCAGTCCTCAAGAGCTTGCACACTCCGCTGCACTGCATCAAGACTGCTGCCTCCTTGTTGTAGCACTTGTGCTCCAAGGGTCAGGGCTGTCTGTAGAGAAAATTCAATGATGCCTACCACCTTTGTATTCAGCATCATCTCCTCCCCAGCTCCACCATGGATCACCAGAGTGTAGTCTGGACTCATGTTGGAGGCAGAGTCAGAGGGAAGTGTTGACTTGGACATTGTCTTGCCTTGTTTTTGGCCTGCTGGACTGATACTTTTGTGAATTTCCCCTTGGGCGGATCCATTCCTTCTTCCTGCTTGTCCTTCTTCAAGCAGACACTCCATGGCTCCCATTTGTCCGGCGACGGCATATCTGACAGCGAGTTGCATCACCAGCTTCAGATTTACTTTCAGGCTATCTTGAAGCTTCTTCAACACTGTGGCAAATGTGCCTTTCCCATTGAGCACCATACGGACCCGGTCTCTCCTCCCCAGGTAGGTTACAGCCAGTTGGTCTTTAGCGTATACATTCCCTACAGCAAGCTCCACTCCCTCCATCAAATCCTTGCCAGTAAGGTAAACGGAGGGGCACCCAAAGGGGTCAAGAAACTTTTTGAGAGGGTTGTCTGGAGACATGGACCAGCGTAGGGCTGCTAGGTGAGGGCCCACACCATGTCCACTTTTAGTGGATTTGATCAGGTTCTTGTGCTCCAGGAAAGCCACATGGAACAGACGGAGCAGTTCGTTCGTGTATCGAGGGTTGTTGTCTGGTCCGATGCAGGATGCCAAAGCACCGATGAGCTGGCAGGATTGCATGGTGAGGGAGTATGTCGGATCGCAGCGGCCATGCTTGTAGTGTCGCATATGGGTAGGGGTTACAAGAATGTGGCTGGCAGCAGATTCCCCAAGAGTCTGCCTCAGGGAGAGCTGCAAGGAAAAGTTGATCCAGGCATCGTACAGGCCCCTGTGACCCCGGAGGGTAGCAAAGACATCTGGGTAAGAGGGAACCTCAAATGTGATGATAGGATGAATTGCTTTAGGGGAGGACTTTGGAGGGTCTGTTTTAGTTATACCCTGTAGTGGGAATGCTAGGGGGCTTGGGGAGGAGGAATCAGCCTTGTTAAGATAGGCTGACCCATTGCTTCCTGTGTTGGCCTGGACTAGGTCTACATTAAGAGACTCAGAGAGATACCACACAGTCTCAGCCACTAACCCAGCCACCATTCCATCCAGTGCACTGTGCTCGAACACCATCCCTGCTGTGCTGTCTTTGAATACCACCAGGTTCACCACCTGTAGAAAAAGTATTAAAAAATAGTTTTTATTTTACTTGTGATACTTGTGATGTTTGCTTGTGATGTTGACCTAAAGAGGAAACTAGGTTTTCAAGTCTTGTGTCAGTGAGTTAATAAACTGAAGTTTGTTGGGTGTAATTACGTATGTCTGATGTGCAGTAAAGATCCACTTACAATTTGATTCAACATTGAAAAACTGATTTAACTCAATTATCTAGGGTATATTTTTGTCAACACAGAAATTCATGTTCCAGGTTTTAATGAGATGTATAATTTAAGACCATATCCTCATCCGGTAACCCGATGAATCCAGTTGATTCACTACAGCACCACTGTACTGTACTGTACTGTATTGTAGTAGTTGTCATCCACAATGACAGTACCACAAACATCCCATGCTGTACCTTGTCATAGTATCTCAGACAGGGCCCATCTCCTCCTCCCAGTCTGACAGCGTTGAGGGTGTCTGCCAGATCAGCTGGTGGATTGCAGTCTTCCAGGGAGAGAGCCACCACAGCACTCTCCATCAACCCCAGTGAGGCGGCCGCTGCCCCTCCTGCTCTCAGGATCTCCTCCCTCACGGCACTCCAGGCTTGCCGCTGCAGGGAAGAGAGGCCGCAGATGGCAGAGGGCTCGTTGTTCTTGGCAGCTCTATGTTGGCTCATCACATGAGCCACTTGACTGTAGATGTCAGGGAATGGTAGAGGAGACATAGGCCCTCCTGGGCTGGGACGCTGCAGTATGTTGACTGAAAATACCCCTCTAGCACAGATGACGATGGCATGGAGGCTGTCTGGGTATACCTGTAATACAAATAGCACATTAAGAAGTAGGAGATAATCACATTAGATGAAAATAAGACAAGGAAGTATGATGAACTGTTATCATTATCGTCAGAGATGGTGTATGAAAACACCCATAAACACTGAGTCAAAGTACTCTATTTATTTCCCAAAGCTTACTTTAATCTCATCTTGGGTCTTTCCAGGAATGCGGCTGGAAGCAAACACCTCTGATTGCTGTGTGCGCTCAGTTGGCCCCTCTCCCTCTACCAGCGAAGGCTCACTATACATCTTCGCCACAGCCCAGAGCAGAGCGGCAGCCCTCTCCAGTTGGGCACACTCCTTGGCTCTGGAGGGGGGCAGGACAGCGGGGATGGCTGTCGAGGTGGGCAGGGGGTCGGTACATGAGAGCAGCCGGCTCTTGAATTGCTCTGTCACCCAGTTCTCTAGACCAAAGGCGGCAGCTGCAAAGCACTTTTGGGCATCCTGCAGGACCTCCCTATGTTGGCTAAGGGTGTTTTTGTATTGAGGATAGAGCTCAGGGCTCAGGGTGAGCTGGAGCACACGGCCTGCCTCTTGTAAGGTGACATCCAGCTCTGGAATAGGGTAATCGAGAAGTGCCATCCTGTCCTGTCGATAGGGGGAACCTAATGCATTGAGAGAGAGAGGATGCACAATCAACTGAGTTACTGTAAAGACACTCAGGGAATTTGCCCCGATATTCCCTCTCAACCATAGTATGCAAAAACGTAACATACTGTATTAACCTGTATGATTACAAAGACTGTAATTCAATCAGGCTATTCATGTAATCTAGGAGAAGAGCTCATGAGACACACAGAGGACTCTTTATGGATTAATTTGGCTGACATGAATGGACAGTACCCTTAGTTTGTATGCCAGATCATCAGTAATACAATACCTCCTGTTAAGGTCAATGTATCCTTTTGAGATACAATGGGACTTCTCCTTTATCACACTGTGTGAGAGAGTGGCTACTCCCTCATCCCTTAATAATAAGAATAGCATGGTGTTTGTATTGCCAGTTGTCATGGGAATATGTCTCATGCTGCATGACCATGTTGGGGTAATTAGATTTGTGCTGATTCGCCTAGTCAGTCTCTCTTTACAATGCTGCCTGTTTTTCATTCTTCTAAGGCCAGATTCAAGTTCAGCTATGCCTCTGACCTTGTGATTACCAGGCAGTTACTAATGACTATAACTAAATTAAATTACAATTGATAGGTTTTATGTAATACCACCTTCATAAACCGCATAGGTAATATACACTACCAGTCAAAAGTTTGTACACACCTACTCATTCAAGGGTTTTTCTTTATTTGTACTATTTTCTACATTGTAGAATAATAGTGAAGACATCAAAACTATGAAATAACACATATGGAATCATGTAGTAACCAAAAAAAGTGTTAAACATATCAAAATATATTTCATATTTGAGATTCTTCAAATAGCCACCCTTTGCCTTGATGACAGCTTTGCACACTCTTGGCATTCTCTCAACCAGATTCATGAGGTAGTCACCTGAGTCACCTGGAATGCATTTAAATTAACAGGTGTGCCTTATTAAAAGTTAATTTGTGGAATTTCTTTCCTTCTTAATGCGTTTGAGCCAATCGGCTGTGTTGTGACAAGGTAGGGGGTGTATACAGAGGATAGCCCTATTTGGTAAAAGACCTAGTCCATATTATGTCAAGAACAGCTCAAATAAGCAAAGAGAAATGACAGTCAATAATTACTTTAAGACATGAAGGTCAGTCGATACGGAAAATGTGAAGAACTTTTAAAGTTTCTTCAAGTGCAGTTGCAAAAACCATCAAGCACAATGATGAAACTGGCTCTCATGAGGACTGCCACAGGAATGGAAGACCCATATTTACCTCTGCTGCAGAGGATAAGTTCATTAGTTACCAGACTCAGAAATTGCAGCCCAAATAAATGTTTCACGTCACAGAAACATCTCAACATCAACTGTTCAGAGGGGACTGTGTAAATCAGGCCTTCTTGGTCGAATTGCTGCAAAGAAACCATTACTAAAGGACACCAATAAGAAGAAGAGACCTGCTTGGGCCAAGAAACACGAGCAATGGACATTAGACCGGTGGAAATGTGTCCTTTGGTCTGGAGTCCAAATTTGAGATTTTTGGTTCCAACCGCCTTGTCTTTGTGAGAAGCGGTGTGGGTGAACGGATGATCTTCACATGTTCAGTTCCCATCGTAAAGCATGGAGGAGGAGGTGTTATGATGCGGGGGTGCTTTGCTGGTGACACTGTCTGTGATTTATTTAGAATTCAAGGCACACTTAACCAGCGTGGCTGCCTGTCACGACTTCCGCCGAGGCTGCCTCCCCTCCTTATTCGGGCAGGTTTCGGCGTTCGTTGTCACCGGCTTACTAGCTACTGCCGATCCCATTCTCATCACTCCACTTGTCATGTCTTGTCTTGTCAATCATACACACCTGGTGCTCATTCCCCTAATTAGTATGTGTATAAATGTTCCCTCTGTTCCCTTTGTCTTTGTGAGTGATTGTTAATTGTGAGAGCGAGTAGCTCAGTTGATGTTGTTATTGCCAAGGTGGAATATTTCCCTTGTGATAGTTTCGTTTGACGCTGGGTGCGTTTTATTTATGTAAACGGAATAAACTTTGGACTTCGGTATTTTACCTCCTGCGCCTGACTCCTTCATTCACACCTCGTCACAGAATCACTCACCCGCTGAATGGAGTCAGTAGGAGAAGACCGCATGCCTGGAGTTGTGGCCAGGGTCCAGGAGCATTTCTCGATGCTGGCCAGCTTGGGTGAAGCGATGGAACGGGTTCTTCAGGTAGTACAATGCCTGGAGAGGAGAGGACCCGATCTATCGAGACCAGCTGGTCAACCGGATCCAGCCACCTACACCCCAGCCCCTGGAGGGATCAAGATATCCCGGCCACCGGCGTTTGAAGGAACGGCAGCGCGATGTTTGGGATTTCTGCTCGAACTAGAGCTGTATTTCTCCAGCATCAGGCCGGCGCCACTGGAGCGGGAGAAGGTATCCGTCCTCGATTCCTGCCTTTGTGGGAGAGCCCTGGAGTGGGCCAACGCAGTGTGGAACGAGGGAGGTGCCGCGTTGGAGGACTACGGGGAGTTTTCTCGCCTCTTTCGGGCCATTTTCGATCACCCGCCTGAGGGTCGAGAGGCGAGCGAACGACTGGTCCATCTGAGGCAGGGGACGAGGACCGCACAGGATTACGCGCTGGAGTTCCGGACGCTGGCAGCAGGGTCCGGGTGGAACGAGCGGGCCCTGATTGACCATTTCCGGTGCCACCTAAGGGAGGACGTCCGATGGGAGCTAGCCTGCCATGATGCCATGATATCGTTCTCCCAACTGGTGGACATGGCCATCCGGCTGGACAATCTGCTAGCAGCCAGAGGACGTCCTGGTATGGGTCTGCCCGTTCCCACTCCGGACGACTCTGACCCAGAGCAGATGGAGCTGGGGTGAGCCGCCGGTCGAGAGAGCGCAGGAGGACAGCGACCGTGCCACTCTGGTGGCACGAAGGGACAATCCACCTCACGTCGCAGTCAACGTTCCTTTGGGTCTGGAGGCGGTAGGCAGGGTACTCACGCATCACCCCAGGTGACGAACACCCAAACTTGTTCAGAGCCCTTTGCGGTGCACTGTACCTTATCTATCTCCTTTCCCGATCACCTGGTAGTTTCCCAGTGTAAGGCGCTAGTCGATTCAGGCGCAGCTGGGAACATTATGGACAGGGCATTTGCACACCATCAAGGCATTTCATTGGTTCCCCTATCCATTCCACTCCCCATCAGAGCACTTGATAGTCGACCATTAGGGTCTGGTTTGGTCACCATGATTACACAGGAGACGCATGTTGAGCAGATCACTTTTTTGATTATTGAGTCTCCTGCTTACCCTGTAGTCTTAGGTATTCCGTGGTTAGCCCTTCACAACCCCAAATTTTCATGGCCGCAGAGGGTTCTTACAGGGTGGTCGCGTGAGTGTCCGGGTAGGTGTCTAGGTGTTTCCGTTGGTGCGACCACGGTGGAAAGTCCAGACGGTACTCCCACCGTGCGCATTCCCTCCAAATACCTGATGATAATGATCTGGCGCCCGCGTTTTCCAAGACGCAAGCGACTAAATTACCACCTCATCGGGAGGGGGATTGCGCGATAAACCTTCGGGTAGACGCTGTACCTCCCAGGAGTCATGTGTATCCCCTGTCTCAGGTTGAAACGGAGGCTATGGAAACATACATCACCGAGTCCATGCGCCAGGGGTATATACGTCCCTCCGCTTCACCTGCTTCCTCAAGTTTCTTCTTTGTGAAGAAGAAAGATGGCGGTTTACGCCCGTGCATTGATTATCGACCACTGAATAAGGTGACGGTACGATTTAGTTATCCTCTTCCCCTCATCCCTTCAGTGATTGAGTCAATGCATGAGGCCCGTTTTTTTCACCAAATTAGACCTCAGGAGTGCCTACAACCTGGTGCGTATTCGGGAAGGGGATGAGTGGAAAACAGCATTCAGCACAACCTCGGGACATTATGAATACCTGGTGATGCCCTACGGTTTGATGAATGCTCCATCCATTTTCCAGTCCTTTGTGAACGAGGTGTTTCAGGACATGCTTGGTCGCGGTGTAGTGGTCTACATCGATGACATTCCGGTGTATTCCGCTACGCACGCCAAGCATGTGTCCCTGGTTCGCAGAGTGCTGGTCCGACTGTTGGAAAATGAACTTTATGCTAAGGCAGAGAAGTGTATGTTTTTCCAGCAGTCCGTCTCCTTCCTCGGATACTGCATTACTACCACAGGTGTGGAGATGGAGGGAGATCGCATTTCAGCCGTGCGTAATTGGCCGACTCCAACCACGGTGAAGGAGGTGCAGCGCTTCCTTGGCTTTGCCAACTACTATCGGAGGTTTATTCGGGGCTTTGGCAAGGTCGCAGCTCCCATTACCTCCTTGTTGAAGGGTGGGCCGTCCCGGCTCCGCTGGTCTGCTGAGGCTGATTTGGCCTTCAGTAGATTGCGGGGTCTGTTCACCTCAGCCCCGGTACTGGCTCACCCCGATTCATCACTACCGTTTGTAGTGGAGGTGGATGCGTCCGAGGTAGGGATAGGCGCTGTCTTATCCCAACGCTCGGGCACGCCACCCAAGCTCCGCCCCTGTGCCTTCTTTTCGAAGAAGCTCAGCTCGGCAGAGCAGAACTATGGCGTTGGTGATCGGGAGCTGCTGGCTGTTGTCCGAGCTTTGACGGTGTGGAGGCAATGGCTCGAAGGGGCAAAACACCCTTTCCTCGTCTGGACAGACAGCTGTAACCTGGAGTACATTCGGGCAGCGAGGAGGCTGAATCCTCGCCATGCCAGGTGGGCCCTCTTCTTCACCCGGTTTGATTTCACACTCTCATACTGTACATTCCGGGTACGAAGAACGTGAAGGCAGACGCACTGTCTCGGCTGTATGACACAGAGGAGAGGCCCAGAGACAACACCCCGATACTCCCGGCCTCATGCATTGTGGCGCCGGTAGAATGGGCGATGGACGCGGATATAGCGCAGGCATTACGCACAGCTCCATCTCCACTGCAGTGTCCAGCAGGAATGCAGTACGTGCCTGCGCTTATCCGTGTTCGTCTGATCTACTGGGCACACACAACACCCTCCTCTGG